AAAGCTTAAGCTCTCCTGATATCTAAGTTACATAATGCCTGTTCTTTACCCGATGCATAGGGATTGGGGTAAAAGACTGGGAGGAAAATGTCCTGAGATATATGTTAGACACCACCTTAGGAAGGAAGATGGGGTGGGGCATAACCTGACCTTGTCTTTGAAGAAAATCGTATATGGGGGTCTGGAGTGAGGGCCCTCAGTTTGGACATGTGCCTGGCCAACGTGATAGCCACCAAAAAGGATACATTCCAAGAAAGGTGCATCAGCGAGCACATTTCCAGGGGTTCAAAAGGAAGTCCCATGAGCTTAGACAGGACTAGATTGAGGTTCCACTGAGGGATGGGGCTGATGGATATGGGGGTAAAACCTGTCCAGGCCTTTCAAAAACCTGTTCACCAATGGGTCCGCAAAGAGGGTCTTACCCCTGTAGCCTGGGTGAAAGGTGGAAATAGCCACCAGATATAAAGGAGGAGGAGAATAACCTCTGTTGCCTGAGATCTAGAAGACAGTCCAGGACCCGTGGGACCTGGACATCCATGGGCGATACCCCCTCCCAAGTAGTTCGAGCGGAGAAGCACTTCCACTTAGGCAGGTAAGAAGCCCTAATGGAAGGTCTCCTACCACCCAGCAGGTTCCAAGCACTGTAGCTCTGCTGTTGTCAGCGATGGAGCTTCCATGCTATTAGATGCAGGGATTGCAGGTTTGGGTGGAGAAGCCTGCTAAAGTCCTGCATAATAAGGTCTGGGTCTAGCAAGAGAGCAATTGCTCTCTCGCAGGACAGGCTCAGAAGGGACGTGAACCCATGCTGCCTCAGCCATGCTGGTGTGATGAGACTCAGGGACACCCTGAACTTTGGAACTTGCAGAAGCACCTTATGGACTAACGGGAATGCGTAGACCAGGCCCTTGGGCCAGGGACTGAGTGGCACGTCTGCCAGGGAGTCCTGCCCCAGCCCCAGGAGGGAGCAGAACCTTAGGCACTCCCTGTTCTGACGGGTGGTGAACAGGTCCAGAAGGGGAAATCCCCACCCGCAGAAAATTCGAAGAACCACATCCCCTCTGATAGACCACTTGTGGCAAGAGAAGGACCTGCTCAGCTGGTCCGCCAGAGTGTTCTAGGACCCCAGGAGATAGGAGGCAACTGGGTGACTATCCACCCCCAATGCACAGTTCCCATAACTGAAGGGCTTTCTGACACAGGAGAAGGAATCAGGCCCCACCCTGCCTGTTGATATATGAGACCACCAACGTATTTTTGGAGAGAATGAGGACCGTCCTGCCCCTGAGGTAAGGGAGGAAAGCCGCACAGGTGAGATGGACTTCCTGCAGGACATTGATATGCAGGGAGAGGTTGTCCCAGGACAACCTGACATTGATATGCAGGGAGAGGTTGTCCCAGGACCACATACTTTGCATTCGCGTATCCCCAGATGAGCCCCCCAACCGGTGTCTGATGCATCCATCACTAGCCAGATGATTGGCAGAAGTCTGAAGAATGGAACTCCAGTCCAGACCACCTCTTCCTGGGTTCACCAATCCAGGGAGCAGAGGACATTGGGAAGAACTGTCACTACTCTGTCCCACCGGTGGAAGGACGGGTTATGGGCACGCACTAGCCACATCTGCAGTGGATGCATGTGGAGCTTTCATGTTGAATGACATAGGTGCACGTGGCCATCAGCCCTAGTAGGCACATGCAGGCTCTGGCCATGATCATCATGAATGCCCTCATGTCCTGGATGGCCGCCTTGATTACCAGAAAACAGGACCTGGATAGGGAAGCCCTGGCTGATGTAGAGTCCAGGCTTGCACCCACAAACTCTATCACCTGGATTGGGACCAGGGTTGACTTGGTCACATTCAGGAGCAGCTCCAGCTCCCAAAACAGGGCACCTGGTCTGAGGAACAGCCTTTAAGAAGCCAGTTGTCCAGGTAGGGGAATACCCGGACCCCCCTGTTTTCTCAGGACAATGACCATGCACTCCATGAAGACCCAAAGGGCCATGCGGGAAAGGCCAAAAGTGAGGGCCTTAAACTGATAGTGGTACTGGCCCACTGTAAAGTGATATACACATAGCAACTCAGCAGGACCTGCCTCTCCCTCTGGTTCACCACCTGAATGACCAGAGACCCTGGAGGAGGGTGGGAGAAGAGGTCCTCATTCCCTTTCTGTGACACAAAGTACTTCTGCTCGACCTTCTTGTCCGTAGGCAGAATAGAGGCTGGGATTTGCCAGAAGGTCTTTGTAATTTTGGCCAGTCTTGATGATTGGTAAGGCCACTCTGGTTGCTGTGTCAGACTGTAGGATACCAACAGTGGGGTCAGAATCCTCTCAACACCCTCTCTGCTTGGACTCCCAAACTCTGAGCCAAGTGATGAAGGAGTTCCTGGTTAGACCTCGAGTCCATGGAAGGCATGGAGGGAGAGACTCACCAAGAGCCTCACGCGGTGAGGAGAAAGAATGAGGACCCTTTCATGCCTGTCCCTTCCGGGTTACAGGCTTGTGAGGAGGCCTGAGAGGCTGCAGACAAGGCCATGACGGAGGGGTAAGCAGCAGAGGCCCCTCTCTCCAAGGGGGTCTCAGGAAGGCCTGGCCTGGGGGAAGGGACTACCCCAACATCGGGGATCAAGTTAGTGCAGTCACCGAAGGGGGCGCCATCAACCCAGAGAAAACTAACTCCGATCTAGAAGGACCCCACGCCCTGGCTCTGGTGGTAATCCCAGGAAGTCCAAAAGGGCCGCTGAGCCAGGATCTGCATTTGTGGGAGCCTGGACTGCTGTAGTATTGACACCAGAGTTGGCTTGGGCCATTGTTGCTGCTGCTGATGTGTGGAGGTGCTATGGTGCCATGACTTGTGCCAGGAATAGGACCAGAGCCGGGACCTGGGCCTGGAGCCTCTGGATGACCATACCAACTCTGCCTCTGAGGGTGTGTCTAGACGACAGAGTTTTGTCGACAAAAGTGGACTTTTGTCGACAAAACTATACCTGCATCTACAATGCCACTGAGTTCTGTCAACAGAAGGCGTTCTGTAAATATCATTCTTCGAAAGTGGACTTTTGTCGTCGACAGAGTTCTAGTGACAGAAGGCGTTATTGCATCTACACTGTCCTTTGCATCTACACTGTCATGTCAACAAAGCAGCTTGCTTTGTCGACAGAACTGGATGTAGTCTAGATGCTCTTCTGTCGACAAAAGCCGGTAGTCTAGACGTACACTGAGTCAGTCAAGTACTCCGAGGTTGACTAGGGTGGCACTGTGATGGTTGCAGCCGGTGATCTTCCTGTTGGATGTACTGGGACATCAACTCTGGCTTACCCCAGTACCAGGGAGGAGGAGGAGGCATTGCTGGTGCTGGTGTCGATGTGCTCGGAGGAGAGGGACCAGCAGCCACAGGCCTCGATGCTGCTGCTGGTACCACCCAATGACCCTGTACCAGTCCTGGGTGCAGTGCCGGTGCACAGACAGGAGTGGAGGCTGCAGGCAGTGCTGAGGCTGAGGGCAGTGCACCTGGTATCAGGGCTGAAGCTGTAGGCGCTGGGGCAGAGCAGTGATGTCTCTTTACTTTCAGACCCGGAGCACTTGGTGCTGGGGCCAATGGCCAGAGCTGTCCCAGCTCGTGCTCTTTGGGTGGACCCGGTGCCGAGGCTGGGGAGGAAGAAGGCTCTGGGAAGTCACCCATCAGGTTAGAAACTTGTTGCAGGCTAGAGTGGTGTTGGTCCAACGGCAATGGTCCAGGCTCAGTGCTCGATCATGCCATGTGCTCCACTTGAGCGGACCTGCCCCTGCTCTGTCTCCTCATTTTCTGGGGTACTGGGGACTAAGACTGATGCTGAGGCCTACGCAGCGCTGGGAAGGTGCACGAGTGGCTGGGTGCTCTTCACACTGAGACGGGTAAGCTCTGGATTGACTGAGTGGAGTCAGATGCCATTGCCAAGTGCAAAGCCACATCCTTAAGTATAGTCTTCAAGTAAGAGTCTCTTTCCCGCTTGGTGCACGGCTTGTAGGCTTTACAGATTTTAAAGGCCTCAGACAAATGAACCTCCCCAAGGCATGTAAGGCAGGCTGAGTGAGGGTCTCTGTGGGGCATAAGTTTCTGGCATTTCTCGCAGGGCTTGAAGCCATGGCGCCCAGACATGCCCCGCCAAATGCATTGGGATTGCAAAGCGAGCCCTGTGCTTGATCAGCCGGAAGTAAACACTTAACAACTACTTAAAAACTAGATAAAAACAATGAACTGCAAAAACTTTAACGAAGAACTAAAACACTAAGTAAAACTGCTAAGAAGCGCTTGCAGAGCAAGAGCAAAAGCATGTTCCAACAACCCTCACAAGCGGTAAGAAGGAACTGAGGGGATGGAGGGCTAGCAGAGATATATATTAGCTGATAAGCAGTGCCAATCCAGAGGGCTCCCCTGCTGGCCCAATAGATACTGAAAGGGAAAAGCTTCTGACTACATGTACACGCAGTGCGTGCTCACCTACATAGAATGGACATGAGCAATCACTTGAAGAAGAAATGAGGGTTACCATGAGTTGGAATAAGAATTCCTCCAGCTCAACGTTATTTTGAAATAAAGGCTTGTAGTGCATGTATTTTGTTATTTCAGAGTAATGTCGGTTATTCGCTGCTGTGTAGAGGTACCCTTATTGCCCTGGCTCAGCCCCACGGGCCCATCTATCCCATTATACCGCCTCCTCCCTGCCCCCATGGCCGTGCCTCCTGGGATCCTGCCAGCACCAGTTTCCTGTAGTGGATATTTCTGAGGAACAATGGGGCACATGGGGGAGGGGTCCTTGTTTCCCTGTCTGGGCATTGGGGCAATGGTTTTACTGCCCTAATTGCAGCATGCATTTGAAAGAGGATGATCCTGCATTCCCATGTAAAGGCATCCAGTAGCAAGGAGTTCCACAGACTCCCACCTCTGTTTGCCGGTGGCAGAGCCCTTTGCCTGGGGGGAGGGTGTTAAGAGCAAAGCATGGCCCTCCTCCCTGACTCACCGACTTCATGTTGAGCACAGGCGGCTCGATAAACTGGGAGCCCAGGTTGGACACGATGAAAGAGGTGACGCAGAATGCCACACGGTCTGGACGCAGGGACCGCACCACCAGCATCCTCTGCATCTGATTGCAGGAGTTCTCCCACTCGCCTGCAGGGGGTGATATGGGAACGGGAGACTGCTGGTGGGACAGCTCTATGCCAACTCCCTGAGCAGGGCCAGGTGCACAGGGATCTGCCCAAGGCATCACATTATTGGGGGCCTCCTGAGGAGCCTGAGGGAACCAGGAAGGAGATGGCTGTGATGCCCCCCACATTGCCCCTGCCTGGCATCACTGCTGGGCATGGAGCAGCATGCAGAGTGCCACCATGCTTGGGGCTCCACAGGCATAGAGGAAACCGCCTGGCTTCACTGTCGCTGTGTTGGACTTACCTGCTCAGAACTGGGGTGAGAACCCAGAAGTCCTGGCTCCCAGCTCCCTTGCTCTAACCCATCAGCCCCCACTCCTCTCCCAGAGCCAGGGAGAGAACCCAGGAGTTCTGGATCTTCCTTTGCCCTCAACCCTCCCACGGCAGACAGACGGGCTGACCTGGCAGCATAGCTTTCTCGGGTTTGGCGTTGGTGTACCAGAGGTGCCAGTCCCGTGGGTACTGCTCGAAGGAGTTCATGATGCCATGGAAATTGGTGAGCTTGTCTAGCTCAGTGATGTTGTCCCAGTAGGTGTCGGCCAGCCAGCCACTGCAGGGGTTGTCCATCTGCCCCTCCCGGTCCAGCACCTGCAGAGAGGGGAGGGGGTTGAGCCAAGAGGAAGTTACTCACCTAGTGCAGTAATGACGGTTCTTTGAGGTTTGTCCCCCTGTGGGTGCTCCACTCTAGGTGTCAGGCTCACCCTGGCACCACAGGTTGGAGATTCATCAGCCATGGTTCAGCCGGACCGTGCATGTGCAGCGGCATTGCGTGCCCTACATGCTGTTTCTGAGTCTGCATGCGGTCCAGCTCCCGCCAGTTCCTCCTAATTGGGTCACCCTGAAAGACATAAAGAAAAGACTCTGAAGCAGGGAGGAGGGCGGGTCGTGGAGAGCCCATGGGGACACACACCTCGAAGAACCATTGTTACTGCACAAAGTGAGTAACTTCCTCTTCTTCGGGTAGTGTCCCCGTGGGTGCTCTACTCTAAGTGAATACAGAGCAGTCACCTGGTCTACGGTGGTGGGATTGGAGCTAAGATGTCTGTGCTGAGGAGAGTGCTGCGGAGGCCAGTGCTGAGTCCCGAATGATAGTCTCAATTGCATAACGTTTTGCAAATGTTATGTCCAAAGACCAGGTTGCCGTGCGGCAGATATCTTGCAGCAGGACGCCTTTGAGGAAGGCCATCGATGTGGCCGTTGCCCTAGTGGAGTGAGCGTTCATCGAGGTAGGTATTGGTTTATTGCGTATTGAATAATATCGTGCGATGTATTTGACAATTAGTTTAGAAATACATTGCGACATCAAGGGCTGGCCCATGGTTCGTCTGTCTGTGCATAGTAGCAGATGTTGTGACTGTCGGAAGGGGCGTGTTCTCTCAAGGTAGAAAGACAACGCTCTACGCACGTCTAAATATGTAACTGGGATTCATGGCCAGAAGTTTGTGGTTTGGGATAGAAGGTTGGAAGTATTATGGGCTCGTTGACATGGAATTCCGAGTTCACTTTTGATAAGAAGTTAGGGTGGGATCATACTATTACTCCCTGATTGGTAAACAAAGTATAAGGTGGGACAGTTGAGACAGTGGTCAGCTCACCTACTCGCCGTGCCGATGTAATAGCTAGAAGGAAGATGACTTTCATTGTGAGTGTGGTCATGTCGCAGGTGTCTAGGGGTTCAAATGGTGGGTACGTTAGAGTGTCCAAAACCAGCTGCAAGTTCCACAACGCAGGGGGTTTTCTGCGCGGAGGGTATAGATTTGCAAGGCCTTTTAAAAATCGTTTGGTCATGGGATGAACAAATACTGAGTAACCTTCTATCAGTTATCTGAAGGCAGAGATCGCCGAGAGATGAACCCTGATGGATGGCAACGCCAGTCCTGACTGCTGGAGGTGCAGTACATAGTCCAGGATATGATGGATAGGGATGGACAGTGCATTGAGGCTACTATCTATGCACCAAGAATAAAAACGAAGCCACTGATAAAGGTAAGACATTCGTGTGGAGTCGTGTCTACTGTGCATTAACACCTTTCACCTCCTGAGAACAGATGACTTCCGCTCGGTGGAACCAGCTAGGAGCCACGCTGATAGGTGTAGTCGATCGATTTGGGGGTATATCATGGAGCATCCTCGTTGACTTAGCAAGTCAGGTCATTCTGGCAAATGGTATGGAGGTCGAAAGGACATTTGTAGAAGAAGTGGAAGCCACGTCTGCCTGGGCCAAAACGGGGTTATAAGTATGACCGTGGCCCTGTCCATAGCTATGTTCTCCAGTACTTTTGGAAGAAGTGGAATTGCCAGAAAGGTGTGGAGTAGGTG